CTCCCATGGCTGAGCACCTGGACTTGGCATGGATTTCAGATGAATTTCTGATGAATTTCAGATGAATTTCATACGGATTTCAGATGGGTTTCAGCTTGTTTAGGATGGGAGTGTGAAGAGTGAAGCTGCTGAAACTTCCCTGAGAGCACCAATGGCTGTTGGGTCAGCATTGCCATGAGAAACCAGCAGCAGCTTTCCCAAAGTTCCTCAGCAAAAGCAACAATTTGCCTCATTTTGGAGAATTTGCAGAATTTTGCAGCAGCTTTCCCAAAGTTCCTGAGCAAAAGCAACGATTTGCCACATTTTGGGGTATTTGCAGAATTTTGCAGCAGCTTTCCCAAAGTTCCTGAGCAAAAGCAACAATTTGCCTTATTCTGGGGTATTTGCAGAATTTCTGCCTGCTGCCTTTGGCTCTGCTGCCCCACCAGCAATCCCATTGTCACAAAAGAAGGGAAAAGCAGGAGAAGGATCCCCGGCCAAAGCAAACACAGCAGCCGTGGCGTTGCAGGAACAGTTTAACCTGGGACACATTTTGCAGGATCTGCAGGTTCCACATTAACCCAGCACACCGTGGTGGGGTTTTGGGGCAGATCCCAGCAGGGCAGGTGAGGAGGGGTGTGCTCACCCACCCCCTCTGACCCATCTGCTGTCCCCTGCAGGCAAAAAGTCACCGACCCACGAGTCACAAGGAACGGTGCCAGGCTCCAAAACCTCCTGGCAGCATCTGTTTGTGCCCAGCACACGGAGAACAGGAGCAGGATGCAGCGAGMTGAGGCTGCCAGAGCTCCAGCAGAGCTTGGACAACGCTCCCAAGGCACGGGGGGCGATTTTTGGGGGGTCTGTGCAGGGCCAGGGGTTGGACTCAACGATCCCTGTGGGTCCCTCCCAGCTCAGGACGTGCTGTGATTTTAGGATGACTGAACCTCTGCTCCCTCCCCATCCCTGCAGCTGGTGAGTCGATCTCCCYTGCTTCGCTTGACTCACAAATCCCAACTTTTTCAGCTTCCTACATAAGGGATATGTTTTCCCTTAAAAATGCAGCTTAAGGAAATCGGTGTCTCCTAAATGTGCAACTAAGGGAAATGTTTTCCCCTTAGAATTCAACCAAGGCACATGTTTCTCCCTAAAAGAAAAAAAAATGCAACTGAGGGAGATGTTTTTCCCTAAAAAAATGCAACTGAAGGAGATGTTTTTCTCTAAAAAAAAAATGCAACTAAGGGAGATGTTTTCCCCCAAAAAAATGCAAATGAGGGAGATGTTTTTCCCTAAAAAAATGCAACCAAGGGAATTGGTTTCCCCTAGAAATGCAACCAAGGGACATTTTTTTCCTAAAAATGCAACAAAGGGGCAACTTTTTCCCTGAAAATACAACTAAATGAGATGGTTTTCCAAAGAAATACAGACAAGGATGTTTTCTCCTAAAAGTGCAACTGAGATAGTTCCCCCTAAAAATTTAATTGAGGGAGGTTTTTTTTCCTAAGAATGCAACTAAAAGAGATGTTTTTCCATAAAAATACAACTTAGGGACAGGCTTTTCCCTAAGAAAAAAAATTGCAAGAGATGTTTTCTCCTAAAAATATGATCAAGACCAATGGTTCCCCCTAAAAATTCAAGCAAGGAAAACGTTTTCCCCTAAAAATGCAACTATGGGAGATGTTTTCCACTAAAATTGCAACTGAAGGACATGGTTTTCCCTAAAAATGTAACTAAAGGGCATGCTTCCCCCCCAAAAAATACAACCATAGGAGATGTTTTCCCCTAAAATTGTAACTGAAGAACATGGTTTCCCCTAAAAATACAACCAAAGGACATGGTTCCTCCGAAAAACACAACTGAGAGAGAAGTTGTTCCCTAAAAATGCAACTAAAGGAGATGTTTTGTCCTGAAAAATGCGACTGTCGTAAACCCGCATCTTAGGGGAACCACTCAACGCCCGGAGGGGACAAAATCATTGTGCTATCCCAAAAATCAGCATGGGTGGGGGCTCCAGCGTGTTCCCCCCGCATCCCACCCGCATCCCCCTGAGCGCACCCCGGGGATGCTCCGGACCCCGCTCCGGCCCCGCACCTGCCGGAGCGCCCCGTGCGGGGCAGGAACGGCCCGTGGGCTGCCCGGGGGTTGCTCGGGGGTTGCTCGGGGGTTGCTCGGGGGTTGCTCGGGGGTTGCTCGGGAGCTGCGGGACCCCGCGGATCCGCCGCGCCGCCCTTGGCTGCACCGCCCCTCCCGCACACGCGGTGCCGCCGCTGGGCGAGCCGGGCCCGGCGCCGCGCACATGGGCGCTGCGGAGCCGCCGGCAGAGACCGGCTCCAGCCGGTATAAAAGGGCTGCGAGCGAGCACCGAGCAGCAGCAGCCGCCGCCGCGGGCAGCGGGAGCAGCAGCGGCCGGAGGCCGGCGGGCAGCGGGGCCGCCTCCTCGCCGAGGGTCGCCCGCTCGCCCTCCCGGGCCATGGGCAGCCCCTGACCCCGCCGCAGCACCGGGTGAGTGGGGCTCCCGCCCGGGGATTCCGGGGGAGCGGGGTGGGGGAGGGCTTTGTTTCACCGGGTTTTTTTTTTTAATTTTTTTTCCCCCCGTTTGGGGCTCTTTTTAACATAATTTTTTTTCATTTTTCCAGCGTTTTCTTTCCCCACCTCCCCTCGCCTGCATCCCTGTATTTTTAGCCCGCGGCCCCGGCGATGCAGGAATCAGGGCTGAAATGTTGGGAAAGTGATGCAGGGAAGGGGGGGCCACGCCGGGCCCCCGCGCTCCGGCTTCTTCGTTTTCAATTTTTTTCCCCGCCATCACTATTTCTTTTAATCTTTAAATGTACAAAACACACGCCCAGGTTCGCGGTTTCTCCGCGTTGTTTTTCCTTTCCTTATTATTATTTTTTTTTCCCTGTTCCCTAAGCGTGCTTGCTCCCGATCTCGCTCTCCCCCCATTGCCCGTGCGGTGACACAGGAATTCACGGCAGCCCCGTCCCCTTTCTCCGGGGGTCTCCGGGCACTTCCCACAAACTTCGGCCGCCTGCGGGGGTCCCGCCCGCGCCCCTCGCCCGCTCCGGGCTGCAGCGGAGCCGGGCGCGGGCGGCAGCGCAGGGATGCAGGAGCCCACGCCTCGCTCCATCCCTGGCACCGAGGATCCCCCGGGAGCCGCGCACCCGCCTTGCGGCACCGCGGGAGGGGCTGCGGACCGTGGGGACCCCCCTGCCCCTCTCGGGGACCCCCACAAGGGGCTCCCAGCCCGGCCGAGCTCCCGCGGGGCCCCGGTGGGCGCCGCTGCCGGTGCCGCGCACTCGCCTGCTCCGCCGT